CATTCAGGGTCTCTAACCATCGGTTGCTATCATCTCGCGGTCCCCAACCAGGTAGTCTACACCTACCAACATGGCTCAGTTCACTTGTCAGTGACTTCATGAACTTGTGCCATGTTTTGGTCTGGCCGCCCCTAGCTTTCTTCCAACCTACTCCTATACCACTGAACATGGCACGTCGAGGCAGTCGGTCTTTGGGCATACGTAACACGTGTCCCAGTCATCTCAACTGATGAAGTTTCACTACTTCATCAATTGATTTGCCATCCTTACCTAGTACCCGTTTCCTAACAACACCATTACTTACTCGATGGTCCCTTGATATACGAACAATGTTTCGAAGACACCTATGATCAAATACTAGTAGCCTACGAATATCCTCTACTCTTACCGGCCATGTTTCACTGTCATAAAGTAGGACGGAACGAACTGCTGCGCAGTAAACACGTCCTTTGGTTGATAGACGGATATCTCGCCTACGCCATAAATGACTCAAGTTGCCAAAAGCCAGTCGAGCCTTCTGTATCCGTGCTGAGATTTCGTCACACACTAAACCACAAGGGCTGATGAGACTTCCAAGATAAGTGAAGCGGTCGACACACTCAACTACTTCACTCCCTATCACTAGTTCGGGTGTCGATGTAACCCAATCCTGAAGCAACATTTTGCATTTCGAGGGAGAGAATCGCATCCCGAACATGCTTGCATTGTTGCTTAGAGTGGTCAGAAGACTCTGCATTTTGTCAGCGTCTTCACCAAATAAAACTATGTCATCTGCATATTCTAAGTCAACAAGTGAACCTCCCGGTAGAAGTTCAACCCCTGGAAATTTAGATGAGGAGAGTGTTATCTCTAAAAGTACGTCGACCACAAAGTTGAACAACAATGGGGAGGGTGGACAGCCCTGACGAACACCCCTTGAGGTAATCAATTCTGATGACAGTTCGCCATAAGCTCTCACTCTACCAGTTGTGTTCGAGTAGAGAGCCTGTATAAGGTTAATGTACTTCTTTGGTACTCCTTTCAGTGACAAACACTGCCATAGAACCTCACGATCGACAGAGTCGAATGCCGCCTTAAGGTCGAGAAATACTACCATTGTGGGGCGTCTGAATGTGTGTCTGTGTTCTAGAACCTGACGTAGTGTGAATATCTGATCTATACAACCACGTCCAGGTCGAAAACCAGCCTGATTCTATCTAGTCTGTTCTTCACGAGCTTTGGTTAGGCGTCGAAGTATTATTGAAGCTAATATTTAAGACACTATATTAGTCAAACTGATTCCTCTGTGATTGTCACAAGAGGACTTTTGTCCTTTCTTATAGACTGGCACAATCAGTGATTGAGACCAGTCAGATGGGATTACGTCTAGTTCCCAGATTCTACCTAAGACTTCAGTCAATCTTACTGCTAATACTGAACCACCATCCTTAAAAACCTCAGGAGTAAACCTGTCAGGGCCTGCTGCCCTCCCTTGCTTCAGGTTTCCTGTGGCTTTTTCAACTTCGTAAAGAGTCGGAGGACTTACATTAACTTGCCATTCAGGTTGACTGGAGATCGTGGGAAACCGAAGTGTGGCTGAAGGCCAGTTGAACTGATCCCTCAAGTGTTCTGCCCATTGGTCCAATCTCCTGGATTGAGAATGTATAATATGTCCATCTTTCTCTGAGATTGTTTCTCTAACAGTCGGTTTCCTAATACCGGTTTCCTTAACGAGTCTGAACAATTGTCTGCAATTACCTATTGCCGCTGCCTTTTCCATCTCTCTTGCTTTCGCTACCCACCACTGTTCGCGATCATTGGGTAGACTTCTTGTCAGCTTGCGCTTTAGCTGACTCCGCTCTTCATTATGTTCAGAGCCAGGTGGAATGAGTTTCCGAGCATCTATCAGTGCGATAGATGCTGTTGAGATCCAGTGTTGCTCCCTAACCTTCTGGTTTACCTTACTAGCAGATATCACTGCTGTTTCCACAGCTTTTCGGATATCATTCCATACTGCCTCGGGGTGGGCATCACATACATGGCTGCCTAACTGTTTTTCTAGTTGTTCCTGAAATATACTCTTAGCTTGACTATCATTAAGTAGGACCCTAAGAGGTTTCCTTGCAGCGTCTTTCCTACGTCCAGTAAGACGCAAGCAAATACGCGCTCGCACTAGAGCATGATCTGAATCTAGGCATGTGCTCCAGAATGAGGGACAGTCTTCTATCGAGCCCCTCTATCGGTGGCTGATAGCGATGTGATCTATTTGGGTCCAACGTTGGGACGAATTAGGGGGTCGCCATGTTAAAAGATGTTTTTCCTTATGCTTAAAGTTAGTATTTGCAAGGAACAGGCGGTTATCTGAGCATAGCTGCAACAGACGGTCGCCATTATCTGTTCTTTGAGCCACGACACCATAAGATCCACCTAGGTGTCTTTCCCTATCGCTTAGTTTACCTACTTGAGCATTAAAGTCACCGGGCAATATTACTACATCCGAGCGCTTAGCTTTTCGGAGAAGGTCCGAAAGCTTTCTGTAAAACTCATCTTTTACATCATCTGAGCTGCAGTCAGTGGGAGAATAGGCAGAGACGACGAACAGGCAACGACGAGTGTCCCTATCTTTCCGGATTCTTACTGTTCCGTTCAGTCGGACAGCGCACAAACGACTGTCTACTGGGATCCACTCTAAGAGTGCTAGTTCTGCCCTAGGACTCAATGCTATACCTACACCGGCGAGGCCACGGGAAGCAGAATCAGGGCTTCCAGATACACGAAGCGTAAATCGAATCGGTTCTTTATTTTGGCATGGTGAGGTCAAATGAATGACGCTACTTGGATCCTGTATGCGCGTTTCGGAGACGCAGCACACATCGATGGCGCGAGATTCTAAAGTCCTAGCTAAGGAAGCCTGCTGTCCTATTTGGCAAAGTGTTCGTACGTTAAAAACTCCTACGTATAGTTTAGAGCGTGGTTTCAGGAGACCAGGAATGGCGTTCCACGTACTCGAATCGTTTGCCCTAACGGTGCGAGGTGATAAAGAGACGTGAGCTGGGTTAGTCGGGGAGATAAGAGAGGTATTAGGAGGTGTAGGAAGGATTTGAATGTGACCACCTTGGTCTCTTGTGCTGTTACGGGTATGAGGGCTGATATCACTTCCCGGTTGCCCACACCGTGGAAGGGTATTTCCTGAGGAAACTGAAAAGGAAATTGGATTAGTGTTGATCTTGACGACCTGGGAGCGTGACCGCAGAGCCCAAGGGACAACTGCTTGAGGTCGGTCGCGCACGGACTTTTCGTGGGAGGATTTTGACGTGTTAGCTCCGTTCTTCAAAGGGCCTTACCGCCGGAGACGGGAATCCGTGAGGTAAGGTGAGGTGTGACATTTTTAGGGTCGACCTTTTCTAACCCCACCCCTCCTTGTGGGAAGACAGCATCGTTGTCATGCTGGTTGTCTGAGGGAAACGCCTTACTCCTGTCACACCTCTGTACAGTCAGCAGTACGACTTCGCCCTCAGACCTTGAGTTGCTGCTTTAAGTCTTACCGTTCACCAATCGACCTGCCTGGCATGGTAGAACCTGCAGGAACATATGTTCCAACCAATATAGCTCGTTTGGGTCATCACGATAGGCAAGCCCGACCACCGCGTCAAGGTAGCAGCTTCGACTAGTATTTTAGCAAAGATCTGGGAGTTGGACGTTATCCCATTTGACTGGTCACAATCACTGATCGTCCCAATATATAAGAGAGGGTTAAAATCATCCTGTGACAACCATAGAGGGATTAGTTTGACTAACATAGTATCTAAAATACTAGCCTCAACAATTATCAGGAGCCCAACAAAGACTCGTGAACTGCGAATATAAGAAAATCAGTCTGGCTTCAGACCTGGTCGTGGATGCATCGACCACATATTCACCATTCATCAGATTTTAGGACACAGGCATACTTAGCAGTGTCCGACAATCGTGGTCCTTGTTGACTTAAAAGTAGCATTTGACTCCATAGACCGCGAGATTCTGTGAGTGTCTGTCATTCAAAGGCGTCCTTCAGAAGTACATAAACCTTATGAAGGCCTTTTACTCGAACACTACCAGTCAAGTCAGAGCTTATGGAGAATTGCCATCTGCTTTTGCAACCTCAAGTGGTGTCCGGCAAGGTTGTCCACTATATCCATTTTTGTTCAGTCTCATCATAAACCAACTGCTAGAAATAACGCTCTTGTAGATTGAATTTCCAGGGATTGGTCTCCTACCAGGAGGTTCACTTATTCACTGAGGAAATGTCGCCTATGGTGAAGGCGAGATATCCGTCTATCAATAAGAGGGCGAGTATACTGCGCAGCAGTTTGTCCCGTTCTACTTTACGGCAGCGAAACATGGCCATTAATTAAGAGTAGAAGATACCTTAGAAATATTGCTGGCATCTGCTGGGATCAACGGGTAAGTAATAATGAGGTTAGATGCAGGGTATTAGGGAATGATGGTAAATCAGTTGATGAGGTTGTGAATCTTCATCAACTGAGATGGTTGGGCCACGTGTTACGTATGCCTGGACACTACCACCACGCGTAAGGCTGACCAGTGTTGGAGACGGTTGGAAGAAAGATAGGGGCAGTCGAACCAAAACGTGGCATCAGTGCTTGAAGTCACTAATTTCTGGCCCAGAATCGATCACAATTGCGTCGGTGTATACACTCTTTGTCTTCCCTTAAACTAAGAGATTAAAATCGCCTCATATCTTTCTTTCTACGAACTAATTCTTTCTTCCTGTATTATATCCTCATATTCAATCTTTCTTTTATATATTACCACCTCTGAATTAACTACTTTTATGAATCCGGTGTCCATCTTATTGTGTTAATGAGGTATGGCAACTTGGACCGATGCATATATGTGCCTGGTCCTACGTTGTAGCTGGCTGGCTCAAACTCGGCGAAATTTTTATCAAAGTTGGAGGATTGAAAACCCTTACACAAACACCAAAACACTTTGAAAAAACGTAATGACCACGAAATTACCGGCAATGAGGGCACTGAGACCGTGTTTCTGTGATCCATTTCTACAGATTCAGGCGTTATTGAAAGAAGGCTTACTCTTATACACTTGTAGCAACACAACTTCGAACAGTGTGGACACAAACGAGCGTTATTAAGCTTCTCCATACATATAAAGCAGCGGAAAACTTCAGACAAACTCTAAAAGTGGACAATAACATAACGTTATAATAATCCATACTTCAAACGTATCCGCTCCAGTCAACTTTTTGTCTCTACAAGATTGTGCCATTTGTACGCAAACAACCCTTAAGTGTTAACAGCAACTTTGAGTTTCCCTGTGTAATATCATCTATGAAAAGCACGGAAAGTTAGGGCAGTGACAGACTTGCATTTACCCTGAAGGTGCCTTTTTGTTGGATAAGCATCAGTGTGATAACTGAAAGAAAAGTGGAAATGAGCCAATGAACCGAAGAGCTTTTTAATAAGATAAGTGTTATAATAGATGGAATAACGGCCAAGAATGGACAAACGCGAAGTCGAGGTTATCTAGAAGTAACTAAAGAAATTATGAACAGTAAGGTCCCGAATGCATCACAAAAACAAACCATACAAACTGAGCGCATCTGGTTGGAGGGTGTATATAACGTAATTCACTTATTCAAACTGCGCTGAGTAGAAATTCCAAACTGTTCGTCCCGTTAGATATGTGTCTGAATTTCAAAATAAATCACTTTGTGGCATTATCTTAATAATAACCACTCATTAACTTGGAAAAAATGGAAACATTCAAGCAATATCAAGTAGCACTAATTAAAAGGACAGTGGTATTTTTCATTGCTGAGTAAATTCTATTGTTTTTATCGTCTATTACGTATCAGGACTACTATTTACATTTTAATTGAATTTATTTCAATTAAAGTATCCAGTAAGAGTATCGTTTTTGTTTCGAACGGGAAGTTCAGTCCTAACGTGATTTGCATTTATCAAACTTTAGCTGTGTTCTTACTCAACAAAAGTACCATTTCTGATCATAAGAATCTATCCTGAGCTAAACGTTCGGTAGATTACTTTTTTTTGAGTTTCACTCAATTTAATAGTTAACTGTGGTGTTGCCTCAGCTTACTATTCGGTTCTTTTTTCAGTTTTCCACGTAAAGACTAGTTCAGTTTATCTCATCCGTTCTATACATTTTTGTCCGTTTTCAGTGTACTTTTTAGTGTATTTTTTAAGGTCTTAGGCTTTTTCTAGCATTTACAACACAGTTTATGTCAATACAGTCATGAAAAATTCATGCAAACGACCTGGATGCCGTTTTCCTGTTACATCTGGCATGCAGTGCGACAACTGCAAAGGTTGGTTCCACGAAGCGTCCACAGATCTCATAGCAACTGCTTACAACATACTCAGCAAGTCGGATCATAAGTGGAAATGTGGTACATGCAGCATGGATGCTGCAGTTTTGCTGAGTAATATCATTGTCCTACTGACAGGTCTGCAGAGCAAGTTGTCGGCAAACTTGGGAAGACATTCAAAAAATGGGTAGACAAACGAGAGAGCGCATTGAAAACGAGAACAGGGATGTCGACACATCTACCAACGACGGAGCATGCAACAGCACTAATGACGACAAGCTGAAACTCAGCACCATGATTACGACGACAGTACTCGACTACGTCAGCAAACTCGGGTCTCACAGCTCAAGGTCTTTGAACGTGACAGTGGTTCCCAAAAACCTTGTGGGTGATTTGACCCATGTCAAAAGAGCTTAATGGGGCCAAGCGTCACAGTCTAAGTTGAACATCCCAGCTGTTGAACGGAAGTCAACTGGTGATCTGGTCGCACAGTCTACCCCCAAGATTGTCCATCCGGTCATCAATGAGCCTAGGATTCATAAACGTGCTTCGACACTCAAACAACAAGGTGCTAAACCTGAACTCACTGAAAAACCTCGGACGACAATAACGGTTCGTGATGACTCTCTCATAGTCATGAACTTCAAAGACAACCCTGACCTTCCTCTCAGTTTGCAGGACAGAAATGATAGGATGCTCTGGGGAGAATTGAACAAGAAACTTGGACTTCCAAGAATGAAGCCTTTGACAGTCACACGGCTCACTCGGGGAAAGGAATCTAAGCATCAGAATCACCTAAGGCTACTTAGTGTAAAACTTAAAAGTGCTACCGACATAGAGGATGTCTTACTAGCGAGTCATTTACTGAAATCAGATGGGAATGTAAGAATACTGCCTGACATACCGTATTCTGAGCGCAATCTCATCCGGAATATCCCCAAAGAATCTCGCGATTAGCTTTTCTGCTGGAGGAATATAATCGTACAAGGTATACCGGAAAATGCAGACCCTACTCAATCAAATTCTGACATCAGGGAATGAAAATTCATCAAGCAGTCCTTGAGGCTCAAAAACATACTGACTCAGCATGAGACGAGACTAGCCAAGAAGGACGGTGATCCTAGATCTCGTCTAATGAAGATAATTTTCCCATCCTCCCACATGGCGGCTGCAGTTCTGGAAGCATTTTGTGCCAACAGACGTCGATTGCCACCTGGAATCCACATGCACCCGAATAGGCCATACGAAGTTAGGACCAAGAACAAAGGTAAGTTGGAGCTGACCATTCCACTTGTGGACTGTCTAAACGATAAAAAACGTGTAAAGGACAGGGCCTACCACCTCGGCAAACCTCACATAGGTGGACTACCTGTCCATTCACGTAAGGCTCATACAGACAAACAGGAAGAAGCTCACGCATTCCAAATTGAAAGCATAAACTGCTTATATATGAACGCCGCGAGTCTACCAAACAAATTGGATGAACTACGTGAACTTAGCAACGCTAATAAGGCCCATGTGATAAGAATATCTGAAACCTGGATATCTTCTCAGTTCTCGGACCATGAGTTAGCATTACCTGGGATGTCTTTGTTCCGCAGTGACAGAAAATCAGGATATGGGGGCGGAGTAGCTGTTTACATACGTTCTTGCTTGGAGGTGCATCAAGTTCATAACCTCGAGTTTAACAATCTTGAGGAATCTATACGGTGCTCTGTAAGGTTGTCAAGTACTTCGAGGTGTCTAGTCGGAGTCATTTATAGGAAGCCAACTGCCGACATCGAGTACGATAGTTGTATGCTGGAAGGACTATCCCGCTCTACTCGTCTCGGTTTCACACACATCCTGACTCTAGGGGACTTTAATCTCCCTAGAGTCAACTTCGCGGAACACACGTATACTGGAAGCGACAACTCAATTGAAGCTCGGTTCTTCAACCTCATAGATGACTTGGGATTGTACGAAAATGTGAGGTCGGCAACTCGTTGGAGAAACAGTCAGACACCATCGCGCTTAGACTGTATACTCACAAACGAAGAATTTCTAGTTGACAACCTCTCAATCATGGCTCCCCTGGAAAAAAGCGGTCATGCAGTCATAGCCTTCAGTTTTGTCAGCAAAACTAAGCGAAGATACCCCGCCAATAACTTGCGTTGTAATTTCAAACGGTTGAATGTGCTAGTTCTACACGACTATCTACAACAGGTGGTTTTGGATGTACACCCCCAACTCGGTGTGGACGGTCATTGGGATTTCTTACTGCACACGCTCTTACGTGCTACAAACCATTCAGTTCCTCAAACGGTTCCCAAAAGCTGCAAGCCACTTACAATAATTAAAAACCGTACCCTTCGCCTGCTAAGCCACAAAAGGCACTGTTGGGCGGAATACGAACGAACTGACAACGACGGAGCGTACAGGCAATATAATTATATCAGGAACATAAGCACGAAGGCTATAAGAGAAGATAGGCTTCAGTACCAGACAAAGCTTATGGACAAATTTGCCTCTAACCCTAGAAGCCTATTCCGTTATGCAGCCTCTCTTCGTCAAGCCAAAACTGGAGTTTCCCAACTGGTAGGTCTTAACGGCCCGACCAACAACGATGGCGACGCCGCTGACCTTCTGGCGTCACATTACTCTCAAACATTTCAACCGGCTGACATCAACTTTACTGACGACAGTTTCATCTGCAATTCCACAGGACTTTCCGAGGTAGACCTAAGCGCTGACTTGGTGTTCCGGAAATTGCAGCACTTAAGATTAGATACTTCTCCTGGCCCGGATATGGTTCATCCTGCCATACTGAGGGAGGCAGCCTCAATCCTGGCAACGCCGCTTAGCGTGATGTTTTCACACTCGTTAAGCCGAGGCAAATTACCGGAAAATTGGAAGTTGGCTCACATCACACCAATTTTTGAAGGAGATCGACGCAATGAACCTACAAGTTATCGGCCGGTGGCTCTTCTGTCATTACTTTCAAAACTCATGGAGTCCCTGATATGCGATGGTATATATGACTATTTACTGCCCTTAAATTTCTTCTCACCCCAACAACATGGTTTCAGGAAGGGTTACTCTTGTATAACCAACCTGCTGACTGCGGTGGACAGATGGACAAGCATCCTTGATCACAAGGGGAAGGTTGATATCATCTACCTAGGTTTCTCAAAAGCTTTGATAAGGTTTACCATACATGTCTTATCAATAAGCTCATACGATTGGGTATCAGACCATTTCTAATCGATTGGCTCACTTCATACCAAAAAAATCGACACTTTAAGGTCAGGGTTAATTTCACTTTATCTCAGGCTATGGAATGTCCTAGTGGGGTCCCCCAGGGCTCAGCACTAGGGCCTCTTCTCTTCTTGATCTACATAAATGATCTTCCTCAACAGGTAACGTCAGACTTATTACTTTTTGCCGACGACGTGAAACTTTGGAGAGAGAGATATACGCAACCAAGACGATACACAGGCACTTCAGGAGGATCTGACTCGACTTCAAAGTTGGGCAGACGATACTGGACTTACCTTTAACACTTCAAAGTGTAAAGTAAGCCATCTGCGACATGTTGCAAACTACAGTTACAACTTAGGAAACTCTTCTCTAGTAGTATCCCAAGTCGAAAAAGATTTAAGAGTCCTGGTGCCCCATGATTTAAAGTCTTATGCTAACTGTGACAAAAATGCCTTCCGAGCAAAGCTTGCACTGGTAACGTTGAAGCGCATTTTTGGCTAGTTTGATGGAAGAACTTTCCATACAATCTTCAATAGTTTTATCCGTCCCCATTTAGAGTATGGAAACATAGTACTCCCTCCCTCACTCCAAAAGGACAAGGTCATTTTGGAGCGTATCCAACGTCGAGCCACGAAATCAGTTCGAGGACTCAAATCTAAACCTTACGAAGAACGCCTCCATTCACTAGACCTTTACCCATTAGAGTATAGACGTCTTAGAGGTGACCTTCTGATGGCTTGTGGTATCCTTAACACTTCTGGACATCCTCTTAAACACCTACTTAAGCTTAGTTCGAATAATAACCTAAGGGGTAACACCCAGAAACTGGAAACACAACATAGCAAGACGGAATGTAGACACAACTTCTACTCCTTAAGAGTTGTCAAAATCTGGAATTCGCTACCAGCCGAGCTAGTCCAAGCGACTTCTCAGGAGTCCTTCAAGAGGCAACTTGACCTATTCTTAAGGACCAAGGACAGCATCACACTATGATTTACCAATTTCATTTCCTCTTTTATTGTTAACATACCTAGGTTCCTGCCTGGAGGATTTGGTGATCCCCTGCTACTAGACACGGAAGCCCGTTAAGCGAAAGCTTCTTCTATTCCGTCCACGACCATTTGAACAATTTGAACCATTTTGAAAATATTGGAAATTGAATAACTCAAACGAAGAATTATGAAAGTAGCAAAGCCTGACCCTGACAATAAAGTGTTGGTAAGTGATAATTGGTAAATTGTAGGCTTTGTTAGTTTCCTCTTGCTTCTCTTCAGAGGCAAACCTGGGTCGAAACTTAAACTAACTTTCTTGTCGTAGGAAGTGAGTGCAACTTTTCTAACCACTATTGGAGAAATTCCAACAGTGTTGGGGAAACTTTGAGAAGGCTGTATCAGGAGAAATTACGAAAACGCGACAAAAAACCTGTGATTTCCCTGGTTGAGAGTTTCCCCCAAAAATAGCCAAAACACCTGGGCCCCCAAATGTCATGATACGGCCGAGGGTGGGGAGAGTCAGCTCTCACTCTAGAAATGCTCTCACACGGCCACGAGTATACAGCCACTGCCAGAAAACTCCTACTCACTGCCTAATCGCGGTTGGGGTTTGTTAACGAAATTGAAAGGACGAAAAGTGAATGTCCAGTGCTTTAACAGGGTTGGTGGATATCGTGAATCCACCTAGGGAAGTCGGAAAACCTTAATTCCAAACCAATGGTGCATATAGGCTCCAGTATCCTGAAGGAACAAATGGCGTATGAGCCAATCGTTAGTCACTGGCTATCACGGGACTGCGTCTCCTGACATTGTTCCACTGCCTTGTGGATCAGACTTATAAGTCGAAGGCTCCGGGCGTGGCCTCCTAAGGAAACTACTTGTTTCGGTCTGGGTACTTGTGCAGTATCACAGCCCACATAAAAATCAAGTGACTTTTGTGGCGCATATGTATTCAGTTCCCCTTTGTACCAATATTTATGTGTTCAAATAAATAAATAAAATAAATGGGGAAATTTCGCATTCTGATTATTTCCCCAGAATCTACAAAAACTTTGGGGAAATCCATCTATATTATTTAGTAGAACACCGAAATTACTGAGTATTCTGGAGAAAACCTGAAAATTTTCCCAACGTTCTCGAGAAGTTATATGGTCTTTATTGAGAAGTACCCAGAATGTTCTTTGCGTATAAACGTCTTTCTTTATCTTTAGTTCATTTCGCAAATTTAACGCAATTCGAAAACAATTACGCCACTGTAACCAACATCAAAATGTCTGTTGTCGCACACACATCTAGCTTGTATAAATGTTCTCTGCGGAACTAAGTGAATGCTTCTTAGAAGACAATATAATGTGGGCACGCAATCATAGTTTATTTACCTCATCAAAGTAGTCATATCTTGCCAACATTTGCAGCAACAAACACTATATGTAAGCGTTGCCGTAGTTAGGAGACTGGCGCGTTATTAATAAGATTGTTTATTAAAATATAAAAAAGATTACATATAGATCTTTCGCGAATTATTTGCATTTTCATATTCTTCTCAATGGCGATTTTCTTTTTGATGTGTTCATCACGCAGAAGTTGGACTTTCGTTCTCAGTGTTCTACAAACAAAGGAACGTTACCCTTCTATGTACCGAACATAATACCAAAGCAGTCCCAATGCTAATAGTAGACAAACAAATGCCTAATGTTATAGCAATAATAGAACCTGTGGATCTATAATGCCATATGAAATGTGTCTCATGTACAGACGTTAATATAAAAGTATTTGCTGGATTAAAAACTTACAGTTAGATCAGTAAGCACTTACGAAGTCAGCCGAAAAGGAAATATACGGTAAATAGTGATTTCAATATAAACATTTTACATCACGTGATAAGAACAAACTCCTTCGTCAGAGAAAGTTTATACAAGCTAGATGTGTGTGCGACAACAGACATTTTGATGTTGGTTACAGTGGCGTAATTGTTTTCGAATTGCGTTAAATTTGCGAAATGAACTAAAGATAAAGAAAGACGTTTATACGCAAAGAACATTCTGGGTACTTCTCAATAAAGACCATATAACTTCTCGAGAACGTTGGGAAAATTTTCAGGTTTTCTCCAGAATACTCAGTAATTTCGGTGTTCTACTAAATAATATAGATGGATTTCCCCAAAGTTTGCCCAAGCGTTTTGGGTATTTTTAGAAAAAACTCTAAACCAGGGAAATTTTTTAGGTTTCTTGTCGCATTTTCTTAGTTTTTTTTTAATACAGCCCACTCAAAATCATGAGATAAGTTGATGAATTAGAACTTATGAACTACAGCTACATAGTTTGTTGCATACTTTCTGTACCAATTATTTGTGTGCCTTATATAAGAGAGGAGAATCTTAGAGTTAGTTTAAAATTTCACTTCACAAAGTAGGTTAGTAGAGTCTTTCTTCTAACATCCGCCTATTTACGCGTTCAAAACTGTGGCGTCCAACACTTATTTCGGTTCGACAGCTTGAGTTACCGTTGATTAGCGTACAATATAGAAATCGTTTCTCGATACTGATTTACACGTAAGTCATTGTTCTATATCCCGACTGTAATGTGTCCTCATTTACATACAGTTCCACCTTCTCTCCCTCTAAATACAAGTTGTTACTTCAGGACTGGTCTGCGTCAACACCTGAACTAAGGATAGGGAGTGAAGTAGTCAATTTCGCTTATCTTGGAAATAACTTTCTCGTCGACTGAGTTCTCGGGTATTGATCTCCTACCAGGAGGTCCACTTATCGACTTAGAATACGCAGATGACATAGTCCTGTTTGGTGAAGACGCTGACAAAATGCAGAGTCTTCTGGTAGCACTGAGCAACAATGCCAGGATGTTTGGAATGCGCTTCTCTCCCTATAAATGCAAGTTGTTGCTTCAGGACTGGTCTGCGTCAACACCTGAACTGAGTATAGGGAGTGAAGTAGTCGAACGCGTTGACAACTTCACTTATCTTGGAAGTCTGATCAGCCCTAATGGGTTGGTATCGGACGAAATTTCAGCACAGATTCGGAAAGCTCGTTTGGCTTTTGCCAACTTGCGTCACCTATGGCGAAGGCGAGATATCCGTCTATCAATAAAAGGACGAGTATACTGCGCGGCAGTCCGTTCTGTTTTAATTTACGGCAGCGAAACATGGCCATTAAGAGTAGAAGACACTCGTAAGCTATTAGTATTTGACTACAGATGCCTTAGAAATATCAGTCAGTCAGTAACAACGTAGAACTTCGTACATACGTACATCAGTTCGAGTTGCCACACCACATAAGCACAGAGATGCAGTTGTCGATTCAAATCCCGTAGTGGTAGAGGTAATAAGAGTATAAGCAGTAATCGGGAAGATTAGGGTTTGGAGATGTTATTTAAAGAGTATAATCCAGTGAAATAAATTTGGAAAGAGGAAAAAAGGGACATGAAGAATTCAGAAGATTAGAATTGGGAGAACACAGAGAGTGGATGCACCTGCGCCATTGCAAACGATTTTGAGCCATGTCATTCAGGGTCTCTAACCATCGGTTGCTATCATCTCGCGGTCCCCAACCAGGTAGTCTGCACCTACCAACATGACTCAGTCCACTTGTCAGTGACTTCATGGACTTGTGCCATGTTTTGGTCTGGCCGCCCCTAGCTTTCTTCCAACCTACTCCTATACCACTGAACATAGCACGTCGAGGCAGTCGGTCGTTGGACATACGTAACACGTGCTGGCATCTGCTGCGATCAACGGGTAAGTAATAGTGAGGTTAGACGCAGGGTATTAGGGAATGATGGTAAATCAGTTGATGAGGTTATGAATCTTCATCGACTGAGATGGTTGGGCCACGTATAACGTATGCCTGAACACCGATTACCACGACGTGCAATGCTATCCGGTTTTGGAAATGGTTGGAAGAAATCTAGGGGCGGCCAAACCAAAACGTGGCATCAGTGCTTGAAGTCACTAACTTCTAGTCTGAGCCATGTTGGTAGGTGCAGACTACTTGGTTGGAGTCCGCGTGACTATCGTAACCAATGGTTGGAGACTCTTGGTGACATGGCTCAGAATCGATCACAATGGCGTCGGTGTATACACTCCCTGTCTTCCCTTAAACTAAGAGATTAAAATCACTTCATATCTTTCTTTCTACGAACCAATTTTTCCTTCTTGTACTATATCTCTATATACAATCTTTCTCTTACATGCTATGAATCCGGTGTTCATCTTGTTGTGCTGATGCGGTATGGCAACCTGGACCGATGCATATATGTGCCTGGTCCTACGTTGTAGCTGACTGACTGACTTGGAAGTCTGATCAGCCCTAATGGGCCGGTGTCTGATGAAGTCTCAGCACGGATTCGAAGGGCTCGTTTGGCTTTTGCCAACTTACGCCACCTATGGCGAAGGCGAGATATCCATCTATCAATAAAAGGCCGATTCTGCTGCGCAGCAGTTCGTTCTGTTTTACTTTACGGCTGCGAAACATGGCCATTAAGAGTAGAAGATACTCGTAAGCTACTATTACTTGACCACAGATGCCTTGAAAAATTGATGGCATCTGCTGGGATCACCGGGTAAGTAATAGTGAGGTTAGACACAGATTATTGGGGAATGATGGTAAATCAATTGACGAGATTGTGAATTATCATCGACTGAGATGGTTGGGCCACGTGTTACGTATGTCTGAACTCCGATTATTTTGTTTCTATTACTTTTGAACTTTATAACTTCTCAACATTCATCTCTTGATTTTTACGTAACTACTATCCTATTGACCATCCGTTAAAATTCTGTTCCTTCTCTTTTGTCATACATTACGCAACGTAGCAACTTCTTGATTTAATAATTACTTTGAATATTAATAATCCTCTTTCTTCCAATTACTCAATGTTAATTTAAATGTCATTGTGTAATTATTACGTAACGTATCCACTCGATGAGTATTATATCATTATTGTGCCCTCAAATGCCCTGGTATGGCCGAGAGTGGGGTGGGTCCGCCATCCATCTCGAAATGCTCTCACACGGCCACACGTATACAGCCTCTGCCAGGGATGTGCTACTCACTGCTTTCTCGTGGCAGGGGTGTTGTTTACGAAAATGAAAGGACGAAAAGCGAATGTCCAGCGCTTTAACTGGATTCCAAACCAATGGTGCACATGGGCTCCAGTATCCTGCGGGAACAAATGGCGTATGAACCAATCGTTGGTCACCGGCTTTCATGGGACTGCATCTCCTTAGGATGCTCCACTGCCTTGTGGATCAGACTTTCAGGTCGAAGGCTCAGGGGGTGGCCCCCTAAGGAAACCACCTGCTTCGGTTTGGGCACCCGGGCAGTATCACAGCCCTCACACATATCGAATGAGATTTATGTGGTGCATATCTACTTTGTGCCTCCTTGTACCAATGTTTATGTGTTTAAATAAATAAATAAATAACATTATTATTGTAAAACACACATATATATATATATATATATATATATACCCACCGGTGACATCATTTCTAATTTTTTAAACGGTAAGCTGATCTAATACATAGAGAAATTTTACTTTCTCCACACGTTGAGGCCTTCGAAGAGCTTTGTGTTTAATCTCATCCTGAACGATTCTCTCACACCTTTTGTATATTCTACTTGGATGGAAGGCAATCTAAAGCAATATTATTATTTATTATTTAAACACATAAACATTGGTACAAGGAGGCACAAAGTAGATATGCACCACATAAATCTCATTCGATATGTGTGAGGGCTGTGATACTGCCCGGGTGCCCAAACCGAAGCAGGTGGTTTCCTTAGGGGGCCACCCCCTGAGCCTTCGACCTGAAAGTCTGATCCACAAGGCAGTGGAGCATCCTAAGGAGATGCAGTCCCATGAAAGCCGGTGACCAACGATTGGTTCATACGCCATTTGTTCCCGCAGGATACTGGAGCCCATGTGCACCGTTGGTTTGTGATCCGGTTAAAGCGCTGGACATTCGCTTTTCGTCCTTTCATTTTCGTAAACAACACCCCTGCCACGAGAAAGCAGTGAGTAGCACATCCCTGGCAGAGGCTGTATACGTGTGGCCGTGTGAGAGCATTTCGAGATGGATGGCGGACCCACCCCACTCTCGGCCATACCAGGGCATTTGGGGCATCTAAAGTAATAAGACCTATGGGATCAGTTAACGACATAACTGAGGACAAGATTTGTCATTTTTAATGGTTTTCTAATTGTCAAACTGTATTTAAAAACAACTCTATGCGCTATTCTAAGCTCAAGGTTTTATATATAACATCGTAACGCAATGGCATCCTATATCCCTACAAGACATTGGGACTTGTGTGCCAAACTAATCTGCCTTTAAACCCCTCGTCATGTTGAACACCCCACTTTCTCTTATATAATACTACTAGATTCAATACAAAAATAATGCTTTTTAAGTAGTTGATTATTGTGAACATATAAAATTTTAGTGGTTTTTCCTCAAAGTAAGAGGTTTCACCATTAGTTTATTAATTCATGTTCCTAAATACGTAGCTTATCTTGAGATTACATAGAACCATGTCATAATAGCCCAATCAATAACGAATGCATGTTTTTCCCTTCTTAAAGTATAGCTTTGTCACAGCCTTAATTTTTTTATTGTTCTACAGGCCTTTATGATATTTCTGAAAGCTTAATCAGCAAATATTTTTGGCTATAATGCAAAGTATAACGTCAGAATTTTATTTTGTCTACAGGTCAGAATTGCTCTACGAAATTTCTATCAAATGATAGTTAAGATACTTTAGAGCGACCCGTTATTCAGATTAACATCTTTGTCTGCCAATCCTGACTTTCCTGTCATGAATCACCTAAGTAAAACAAATGGTCAGGACAAAGTTCAGTCTATTTCAATCAGAAATTTACCGGTGGATGTAGATGACAAAATGCTGAAGAGTATTATACCTTCGGCTAAAAAAATCAGTTCACACAAGCAAACATTTTTTATCACATTTTCTACTGTGAAGGGCTATACAGATGCATTACGTCGTTTAAAAAGAGTCGACTTCAATGGAGTTAAGGTAGTATCAAAAGTTTGCTGTATTTTATATTTTCAATAAATAATAGCTTATTCACTAGTCAAACTATGTATTTACTTCGCAGCTAAATACACAAGTTCTCAAATGATCTATTCGTCGTCTATCGAAGTATTTTATAAAAAACTTTTCTCACTGTAATTGGTCAGACAATATATTATAGCTAACGAATGAAATTACACAAATCTACTAATTAAAAAGCAATCAATGATATGAATTATAAACAATCCTATGTGATGTTTCATTCACCCTAACACTTAGTGTTCAGTAATACCCAGAAGCACAATACAGATGTCAGATTTATTGGTTCTCAAGAAATAACGTCGTGGATACCTATTTCTTGATATTTTTTCGCCATACTATTGTTTGGACTAGTCTTTATACAATCCAATGAATTTCTCTCAATAGATTCTTATAAATGCAACTAAATTCATCTTGTGTAAAATTCCTAAGTAACAGCTTCGAAAAATTACATGGACGTTCTATAAAAGTTAGTGGGCATAATGGAAATTAGAAAAACGATAGGAACTTGTATAATAGTACATAGCAGTGTCACCAGTATTAGTTTGAACTCATGTTCTGGTGGTCGTCTAAGCAAATATTTTCTAAGTCTTAATTGCAAGATAAGCAATGACCCTTGTGAAGTAGTACATATTGCCTGGTTATTCTTTTCCTATTGTCTAGATGGCAAAACTCGACAGAATTATGTCATATACGGGAATGAGATAGTTTCATCTTATAATAAACTTTCCATTTGGAGACCTTCGAGTCCTCACATCAGAACTCTATTAGCAGTAGTAAATCGATTTATTCGTAACTTGGTCTTCGATGCGTAATTATGCTAACACGAAACTAGTTTCATTAAAAGAAGTAGAAATGAAGTCGGATATTGATACATGTAGAGGTACATTATTAGTAAGTAACAATGTGAGCGAATTAATCTTGGTGATACGGCATTAACTGCAAGTGACTTAAGGAGTAGTGGTCAATCTAGAAGTTCACTGTTATTTGAAACCATAACAATGATCTCATATAGATAAGCTGTTAACATCGTATCTATTATTTACTGATAGATAACGGGTAGAGTCTTGACACCGAATGGTAGGCTGGTGTTATAAATAAACCTTCGATCATTATCGATATTTGGAATCTGTCTACAATAATTATCTACTTCCACTTACAGGTAGGCGTCGGAAAAGTCTGTTTTCGCGAAACATGTTCCATCGTTAAGCTTACCGAACAGGTTCTCAGGACCTGGTAACGGATACTGATATATGTCCGGTGCAGCGTTTAAATCGATTGGGAAATCGGCACATATACGTATAATTGGATTAGCCTTCTTAATCACTACGATTTGTTTGATCCATGCGTAGTAGTTGATTGGTTTGATCACACCAGCTTGTTGCAAACGATTAAGTTCCTGATCGATTAGTTCAAGAACAGCGCACGGCGTAGGACGTCTCGTATGGAAAATAGGTTTAGCACCTAGTTTCACTAGTAAATGAGCTTTCATGTTGGACCAGTAATCAAGGTGATTGCAAAAAAGCAAACTTTTTCCTTAGCTTATCTGACAACCTTCCACTTTTTTCAAATGTAGGAGTGTCCACTGTTGAACAGGACACTCTGCAGACACGTAATGGTATATCCATTATTCCAAGTTTTTCTAACATATTTAGACCACGGTCTGGTCTATCTGTTGTATAGCATAGCGTGCATGTCCATTGCTTTCCGACTAACGCATCAACAATCAAGTCTTCCACGTTTCATCTTGTTTGCATAATCCTATTCTAAATGTATTTTCCCAACGCCTTAACCATGTGAGGAAGGTATTTCCACTACGGGGTCATAGTTGAATTCTGGAATGCTACTAGTAACTGCACCACAGGAAGTAGTTGACATAGCATATGAACTCGGGCACTGAATGTTAAGCCGTTGCGTCAGAGTTTCTAACAACTGAATTTGTTCATTTAGTTGTGTTTGCTGTTGTTGCGGAATTCAATTGAGCTGGTCATCTGATATCGGCATATCAAATATGTCTTTCTTTTTCCTCACTGTTATAAACTGTTTCATTACGACCCAGCTACGATTATTGATTAGTATTTTTCGAAAAATACCTCACTCGGCAAGTCCCCAAATTAGAACACGGTTGAACAGGAACGCAATTATATTCCAAATAAACAAGGTTGAGTGGAAATAGGGATCACAATAAGAAAAACGTTAGTATATTGATAATTTCACTCAAGAAGGCCCTAGAGTCTTCTCTAAGTATCTACTAACGCTGACTAGCTAGGAAATGACCAATCAGCGTGCTCCAACACAATCACACTCGGAGCGTGCCTTAATTCAATCCATATAACTCAAGCAAAGAAACTGACTGTGAGACGGAGTCATGTAATTAGGCGTAGACTACCTGGTAGTCGGGGTCCGTGTGATTACCGTAGCCAATACCTAGGAATTTTGAATGAGATGGTTCAAGATCGTTCTCAGTGGTGCAGGTACATTCACTGTTTGGCTTCCTTTGGATCCTAAGTTTCTAGTTTCTTTGTAATATTTTTAATGCTCTTCTTTATTTGTAAATTTGACTAAGACAAGAACAATTAATGTATCAGAATAATATAAATTCATCATATTTCGCTGTTTCTCATCAGCTGTTTACAATTTAAACATAATAGTATTAATCTTTAAAAATCAGTGTACATATTTTATATCATAATATCGAAAGAGTTCTCATCAATGCAAATTAATGAAAGTAGCGATAAGAGATGTTCATATGTAAATTAATGTTAATATTTATAGGTTTAATATAAGAATATCCTAGAATAAACAAATAAGAACATAGAAACAGAGTTATTTAGAAATAATAAGTTAATGCTATAATTATGTAATCCTTGTAACAAAATTAACTAACTGAGTACGCATCAGATAAGATGTGAGTATTAATTAGTCTCATGAAAACCGAATTGCTCAACGAAAATTTATGAATGAGTTTACCGCGGCAAAGCAAGATTGACAACTGAGTCTTTCTGAATACATAAATTTGGTTTGAGTCTATTCATGGCAGCTGATTGGGGAAGCCGTAGAAAATCTGACGTTCTTTATTTATTATTTATCTTGAAGGAATTCGAGACAGTAATACCATGTCCACTGTCATGCAGATGGCGTGCAGTTGGTACTATTATGTTTAGGTTGTGAGCAGCTAATGATAAACAGCGAAATATAATGAAATCATGTTACTATGCTACATTAATTGTTCTTCTTCTAGTCAAATCTTTCTTTAATTTGTTAATTTATATTTTCTTGAATAAACTTTTCAATTACCAATAATACCATTACTACCTTTGCTACTCTGGGATTCGTCGTGACAATTCCATCTCACTGTGCTAATGGAGTATGACAGCTTAAACCGCGACTTACATGTGCCTGGTTCTGTGTTGCGTATGACCAACTGACTGACTTCAATTTTATTGGTATAGTGGATATGACAAGTAATTCTGTATAGATACAAATAAAAAATCACCTATCTTTGTATCGGCAAACAGTTAACCTTCTCCTACTTTGTAATTTGTCTTAATGGTTTGCTATTTTATCAACCAACGTGGTCTATAATTGCTCCTCACTTTACTGTACCATCTATTTGAGTAAATTATAAGTAACATGTTCGATTTTAGTTATTTAGTTTTATGAACAGTAGAATTACTGTAAATTATCCACTGAATCATTTGTTTAATATCCTGTCACTCATATTTGTTGGTTAATATTGTTTGTATTGTAATCACAAACTTGTAGGTGTAGCTGATAATTTAATAATTTGATCAGAAATATAGCTCACCAGCGATACCCAGACTCAATAAACTAGGTTATAAAGCACTTATATTATATTAAGCCGAGTGATGTTGTTAGGTTACCTAAAATTTTTAAAATAAATTGGAGTTCGAACGTCATATATGTAGAACTAGAGGATATGAGCAAAGTTAGGGTTAACTGTAATCTCTAGCTGATTAGTCAATAATGGTTGCTAATAGAGTTTTCATTTACATTTTTCGTTGTGTCTTATTTAACAACCAGGATTGCTGATAAGCAAAGGTGGATAGTGGCTAGCAGTGGAATCCACGACGCACGTTTCGCCCTATTCAGGACTCGTCAGCCGGATGTACCTGCATCTCAGTGTTGATGTTCACTCTGGGATTCCACTGCTAGCCACTTTCCATCTTTGCTTATAAAGCTTGTGAAATAAGGCAATACGCACAGTATGCATGTATGCAAATAACACTAATAAATTGCAGTCTTAAACCTCAATGGGAATATACACGCAAAAACAATACCAAGTGAACAGGATTGCTGATGTTTTTCTTGGGACTAACCCACCACTCCAAAAATCTACCCAATGCACTACAGAGTGTGTTAGGATTTATCATCTATCAATAACGTAAAGTTTCAGTAAATTCACTATTGTTTGTTTAAAATGAACCTAATATCAAATTAAAGTGAATTATAAATAAACCAGAAATAAATTTAAACAATATGAACCACTAATTCATCAATAAATGGTCGAGTGTTCTAGATAAATAGTTTTGTTAATTCTCTATTGATAATGTTAAACAAATGTTTTGGTAAATATTCTGTTCTACCGTGATAGTGCTATTTCTAATGAAGCACATTTATTTTCGGGAAAGTCGGTAGTTAACTATCACTAGATCAATCAGAGGATGCACAGGACGTGGTGAAATTGTGAATCAGGCGACGTTGCCACATTTCATATCAGGATAAAAAAGGCGTCGTTAAATAAGGCCATACGTGTCGACATAATGATCCCAATGAAAGTGATAGACTTGATGGAGAACGCAATTTAAAAAATAACTAATAAAATTAGAGGATAAAAATATGATTTAGTTTTGTTACTTAAGAATCGAGCGGAAAAAAAGATGAGTAATGAGTACTCATACTTCACTACAACCAATTGTGAGCCATGAGACCCAAAATTTTGAACCATAGATTGTAGTCATTTCATAGATTATGGTCAATAAATTTGCACGTCCCGATATGACTCAGTTTAAAAGTGATTGACCAAGAGTAACAACATTTAAAATCCATGAATATGACAAAAAAAGTCACTTCAGTCCATGGAGTTTATTAATTCTATGTTTCAGATGTATTTTGTTAGTCAAAAATGGTAAACGATTACTGTTTGGTGATCAAATAGACGTATTCAGATCAGTCTGCACTCAGTATCTCCAAACTAGTAAGACAGTTTCTGGTCTCGTAATCCCATCGGGAGTGAGGAACAATTTCTAGGACTGAGTATTTAGACATGAAGCTTTTTCTAAAGTATATGTGCTTCACTTGTTTTTATAATGTTCCATACACTTATAAAAACGTCACAGATCAATTAATTATCCCTCCTCGCTTATCTAGTTGTTTGTAAAGTATTTTTGTAACAACTTTAAATAGGCAGTCAAAAAACTCTCATTAGTTTTTACTTTATTACTCATTTATTACACCGAATATGATCATTTATTGATGTAAATTGAACTACGTTTAGCATCTTATCTTGGTATCACACATGAATAATTTTCTGTTAGTGTGAGATTAACATACATTTAAAGTTACTTTACCGCGAAATGATAACATTCTCGTTTTAAATACTATACTTGATTTTTCTTTGTTTTACTTTAGCCAACTGTAAAATCTATTTGTCGACCATCACAATCCAAAAATGTAATTCAGCCAGAAAATGTTGAATTAACTGTTCAAAACCTGCCTCAGTCGACTACACTAACTCAGCTTAAAGTAGAATTTCCTACAGCAGTATCTATAAAATTAAAAACTGATATATGGGATGTACAGAAAAAGTAAACTATTTGGGTCTTCATTTTATCATTTTAAGTGACGTTAATACCCTGACTAGCTAGGGACCTTTTTTAAAGTGAACGTTTATTTGTTTCCGGAAACTGATCAGTAACGTTTACCATTGTGTAATCGTGTGCTTATTAGATATTACAATTCAATTTGTCTAATTTGCACTCGAAGATAACGACCAACAGAGAGTATATAACTTCTCGTCAAAATTCTTTGATTCCACCCTATTTTATTTCATAAACTGTCCAACTTTATGGAGATTCGGAAAATTGATTGTACACAAAAATATTGGTTTTCGGTGTCCTCCATAGTAGTTGCAATAGTAGATCAGTAGTGATATTTCTTACGTGGAACTTTAAAGTGATGCTTCAAAAAGTAAATCGCCTGGTTGCAAGTTAAACGTTGATCCAACTACTTCGGCTTAGCGGCTGGTTATTGTCACCCGTCTTCATACTTGAAAGTGAAGCTCAGAACCAATTGTATGGAACTGTATATCATAAATCAGTGCTAGCATAGCACTATAAATAAATTTGATTGTGAATGAAAATGTATCGTCATGCAAGGCAATGTTGAATCAAATCTCACAGAAAGTGTATCAACTTACTAAAGAGTAGAGTTATGCCCAATAGCACCATTTAACCCTGAAATTATAGCCCCTGGTTCCCACTTAATTTTGATAAGTGATATGCTGTGGCATATTTTGAATTTGAATATCTGTAAATTGGAGTAGTGATTTGCTTTTCAAACTACTCACCGTCCAACTATTGACTCCTTAGTGCAAACCTTCTTTTGCATACTTCGGTTTGAACATCTACACTGTGTCCCGGCAGTCACAAAAATGTTCAACCTAAATTTCACTTTACTAAACTGTATTGTATTAATGATTTGCAATGTATGCCGCTGTTAACTGTATAAACTGCTATCAATCTTTTATCAGTTAAGTTGCAGAATACTTAATTGTTCATGATATTAACTCCTCTTACATACAAGTCTCTCATTCTATCCATCTGTTATATTTAAACAAGTTGAAATGACTACTACTAATATTTTTCACACGTATACAATCACTGTGGTCGAAAGTATATTCAATAAATAATTTTCAACAAACTATTATAATATTTGTTTTTTCTGCTGTTGTTTTCTTTACTACATAATAACTTAGGTCATGTTTGCTAAAATTTCAATGTTCAGAAGATCTCGAAGATGTATTTGAAGATTGTCATCATAAATTAATTGGAGGTCAGACTATTAAAGCTATAATTGGTGTTCAATCAACTCTTCATTATGAATCCTGTGGTGCTGATGATACACAAGATATTCATGGGTTTGAACTTGTTAGAGTACCATCAAACATTGACGATGATAAAATTCGTAAACAATTTCCTGAAAATACTATAGTTGATTATCATTCAATACCTAATAATGATTTAGTCACTAGGTGAGTGTATAAACAACTTCGATTTTATTATTATGAAAAGATTTATTCTTATCATTATCGAACTAGACGTTTTCAAGAAATGTACGTGTTGAAGATTTTTTTTCATCACAAACCATCGTTAGTTGGATAATCACTGAGAACTGAAAAGCAATAAATCACCATTTCATATTGTATTGCGAACTTACGGTTGCACATGTTTTTATCATTTAGAAAGATAATTTGACTACGTGTAAATGTCTAATCATTAACACAATGATTGACAATAATCAATCGTATTGTTTCTTCTAGTTTTTTAAATTATTATTATTGTTATTTTAGAAATGTGTTTATTCGTTTCGTAAAACAAGGATTCATTTGGCCACTTATTATGATGTTAAAAAACAATGTATTTAGTGGATTTCCTTTTGAATGTCGACCATGGAGTGAGTGACAATATGTTGTGTTATAAGATATTCTGTGGTTGATTATATATGTTGTTTTATTTAATATTTTCTTTCTCCAAACGTGAAAATTAATCGATAAAAATTCACCATTGTTTCTTAGCTTTTTAAAGTTCGAAGCTGATTTTTTTAAGCTTGTTGAGTTGGGTGTTCAAACATCTTCCTTTGGAGTAATGCGTGTAACTTAAGGCGTAATGAACGTAGTTCTGTTTTGATGATCAAAGGCTATATATTACTATCTGAAGTCCTCAATGGTTATGCTTATAGTGATCATTGCCAGGACCTATTTAATGCGCAGATGTTTCTAACCATGAGTAAATATAAACTGGGATTCAGGTAATAGGTGTAAAAAATCAAAGTATGGACACTACGGCAGGGTAAAAGTAAAAAATGACCAATTGACAGAACAAGTTGTCAACCATATGTGGAGAAATTCGTATACCTCACTTCTAACTGAGGTTTATGCTGAATTCGTTCAGTAAAATAATGAAAACTTCACGTCTCAGAGAAAGAAACCTCAGCAAAACAAATTGACACATCTTCCTCATAGAATGCGAGGTATAACAGCCTTTTTGTAATTTGGATTTGAGAAGAAATGAAGTTCTAAACTTTGGAGAAGTTATAAACTGGCAATCTGAGCGTTTTGATTTTTTTCCGATTTAAATCCCAAGGCATTCTTGCAAGTGAATAGTTGTGATTTATTTATGTTCAATAACTGTTTATGATTATTTTATCATAAACGTGTTTTTTTGTAACATGTGACTTTGTGGACCAGTTAAAATGATGATCACTGTTCATATGGACTAGAAATAGTGACATCGAAATCTAATCCTCTTTGTCGAGTAATGAATTAGTTGTTGAAGAACTCGATCTTTTTAAACTACTGGATTATGGATTTGATGTCAATCTTTACTTATTTAGTTTGTCCAGTCGATTGATGAGGTGATGATTCTTCATAAACTGAGGTGATTGGAACATATGTTGCATGTGCCCGACCACTGCCTACCTCAAAGGGCGATGTTTTCCAGTATAGGGAAGGTTGTAAGAAAGCTATGAAACCGGCTAAACCAAAAAACGGAATCAGTTCATGAAGTCGCTAACAACTGAACTTGGCTATGTTAATAGGTGTAGACTATTGATTGTTTGGGGTCCGCGCGGTTATCGAAACCAATGGTTTGGAAGTATGGATAACATGGTTCAAAATTGTATACAATGGCGCAGATGCATCCGTTCTCCGAATTTTGAGATCCTAAATCTCCCATAACCTTATATTTTCTTTTCAAATATCATCTTCGACGCCTAATTTCTTTATTAGCACTGATGTTGTTACCACCTCTAATATTCTGACATTCGACCTGACAATTCAATTTTTTGTGGTAATGAAGTATAACTACTTCAACTGATGCACATACGTACCAGGTTATACGTTGTGACTGATTTGTGATTTAGTTATCTGTAAACCACAAATATTTGTTCAAAATCACTTCAGCGTTATATATTAATGATATTAAAGTGGCAAGAATTTATCCCATTTCGATCAATCTGACAGGTTCACTCAGTGATTCTAATAACTTAATTATTGATCTTTGCTCCAAGCAGTGTAATAAAACTTGAAATAAGTTAATCACATCTCTAATGTGAAATGTTATTTAAAAAATAATAGCGTGGACCAATATTTGGTTTGACTTTGCCAACCATTACACTTCAGATATTCACTTAGTCCTGTTGAATTAGTATTTTTAAGGTCTCGATATTTGTCTTTAAGTTTTGATAACTTACCTAGCTCACCTCTCTGACTTAAGATCCTTTCGAAGTGTTAGTAAAGTTCTAAATAATCAGTTCGTTCTCCTTTCTAGTTTTTAAACATAATCACTGAAATTAAGGAATTTCATTCAATAAAACAGCCACTAAGTGAGATTACGATGACGTACACGTTGTCATTACTTATCTTAGATGTACAGACGTTTTATTATTTTTTACTGTTAACGCCGTTCGTGTTGTCTGGATTTCCCAACTATTTTACGCAGGTAGTAATAGATTATGCTTTGTGTAAATGAATATTTTAAACGTGTTTTTTCCTGAAAATGATTGGTTGTCTATTTATATTGTCAATAATGAATATAAGTACGTACGTGACGATCTCGAATCCTATTTTGCCGACAGTATATAAAAAAGTGCACCTCGTCGACTTTCGAACTTCGTAAGTATTGATGATACCTACAAGTCTCACAGAAGACATTAGATTCCCTAATGAACGTGATTCCAGTAGCGTCCGGAGGAAATTCCAAACTGGTCGAAAATTTTTTCTACCTTTTTTCTGTTTTGACAAGTGTATCAGTAGGGTGTTCCATCGTCGTGTTTATTCAAACAAACATTGGTACAATGAGGCATCAAATACATATGCGCCACAAAAATTATTCGATTTCTGCGAGTTGCAACACTACTCGGGTGCGCAAACCAGAGTAGGTGTTTTTCTTAGGGAGCCACTACCTGAACCTTTGACCAAGAGCTCTGATCCACAAGGCAGTAGAGCAGCACTGGGAAATGCCGTCCCATGGTAACCGGTGACTAACAATAGGTTCATACACCTTTTGTTCCCACAGGATCATGGAGCCCATGTGCACCATTGGTTTGGAATCAGGGTTCTCCAGCTAACTCTTTTAGATGGATCCTCCATATCCACCAACTCAGTTAAGGCACCGGACATTCGCTTTTCGTCCTTTCAATTTCGTAAACAGCACCCTCTTCGCGAGAAGGAAGTGAGTAGGAGTTCTCTGGCAATTGCTGTATACGCGTGTCCATGTGAGAGTATTTCTGAAGTGAGAGATGATGCTCCCCACCCTCGGCCGTACCAGGGCATTTTGGTAGTGACATTCCTACCATAAATAATCATCTATCTACCAACCATCGGAAAGTCTATCGTATAGCGTACTATTTATGTAGCACCCAACGTTCTTCGGATGGTAATTTTCTACATCTTATGTGCACGAAAAACATGGAACTTGAAATATAAACTTACTCCAGTTATACAAATTCGTGCAGATTACACCATTGACTAAATCCCGTTTTTCATTAATCTTTAAAAAAACTTGGCAGAAAAAAGTGACCTAAAGGGTTTGGACCACGAAGAATACTGTTGTCTTCGGGATATCAACACATGATGATGTCGATGTTCAACTTAAATCAAAAATGTCCGATTTTATGTTGCGTATTCCAGTCATTTTAAAGTGCTTACTAGTTGAATGCCAACGTGCATGAGTTAAGTAGAGAAGTGTGTGATATTAATCTGTAATTCGGACTGACTCGCGTTAATCCGAAAGCTTAGCAACCGTTCAGTATTGAAATTGATAATATAGTTGATTATTTTAACAAACCACCGAAAAACCACTAAGTAATATAATATTCAATATTAGAATGTGTGCTATCTTTATAGATGTCATTATCATCATACCCAACGTATAACCTAACACAAGGGCATCGGTTTAAGTTGCCATATCATATTAGCACAGCGAGATAAAAATATTTCAAGAGAAATCCTAAACTATTAACCGTATCAGTAATAAAAATAAGATCTAGGAAGATTTCAACACGGAGAAAAAATGTGTGCACCTGTGCATTTGGTCTATGTCATTCAAAATCTTTTAACATTGGTTACTATGATCACGTTAACTTTAACCAAGTAGTCCACAACTATTTATGTTATAAAAGTCAATGCTTTTCCAGATGCTGTTTCAGCAATTCACTAGTCCCCGTATCGAGTGTGGCAGTTACTCACGAAAAACTATGTGAGATGGGCGCGCGACATCATGGATTGGTTGAAGCTAGACATTAACATCGTCGGATGAAAACCCAGTCGCCTCAAGTCCCGCTAGCGTTATCGTGGATGTCCCATATTGTGACGAAACGGCTGTCTAGTGGTTCCAGATTTCCAATGGTGGTTCATAATTTCAATGTAATAATTATCCTTTGTGGATTGATATTATTCATTGCCTGGACACAAAACCAGTAACAAATCTATTTACCGTCTCTCCCTCTTAAGCCGGATTTCACATATTGCCGCGGCTCCTGAACTTAATATTTAGGCTTTTGCTACTATGTTATAGACCCGTTCTATGATTGGTCGTTCCGAAGTTTTAAATAACGAATATTGAATTTCACAGTAATGAATTAAATCTGACTACAAGATTTCGACCCAAAAGTAACACACCAGTCAGTTTACTTAAAATTTTGTGTACTTGACCTTAAGCAATAATCGCCACTGAATGTTATTAATTGTTCTAGTGTTTATAATGCTGGGAAAGTTCCACCAATTCATTCTTTCTATTGTTTGTTTCGAAAAAGCCAATTCTATGTTTTAGAAGCAGAATGAAGATAATAACTGGACGATCATGAATATTACAATGTAGGGAAAACAAAACATTTATTTTTAGAAATAAAGGATTTTTTGTAGTTATGTATAATTTTACATGTTTAACTTTGGTACTTTTAAATAAAAAAGTTCCAACATCCTGTCTCGTCCTACTTTTCTTCACTGTGAGTAGTAGTAAACGCTGTTTTAGGCTCCATACACATGTAATTAAGTTATCTAGATTTATTGATTGAGAAACACATCTTGTCTAGAGTATCTGATAATGCCTTTCTGGTTGTTTTTTAAATATTCTAATAAACTTATGCCTTCATAGGACAAGGATTTAGTCACGAACTGATTCAACAATGCTGTTTTAACTACGCCGAGAGAGTGAAGATTGGATCGTTGATTTTTAAAAATGTAAACAAGAAAAGAATCGAGTTCTTCAATACGCGTGTTATTAAGCATAACCACTTATCTTAAAGAGATGTTCGTTGCTGCTACCTTGAAGTGTTGGTCGGGTTAGTCTATCGTGGTAAATTAATCGAGTCATACTTAATGAAAAAGTCGTTCCTCGAGGCCTGTGGGCGAAGTCATACTGCTGACTTTACAGACCTGTGTTGTTACCAGCGATCTCCAAAATCTGAGCTGCTACACGATAGAGCGTAACTTGCCTAAATAATGGTGTTGAGTCACCCAATTGAGATACGCGCAAAATGGAAGTTCACAAAACAACCATTTGTACAAAACCGGTTCTTTATTGAATAAAATACAAAAGTTAGTTACAAGCCTCAACGTGAGAGGTGTCTGCGGCGTATTATTATCTGAGATAAAAAAGGATTCCTGTGATAGTAACATAAAGAATAATTACAACAGACGATAGTGCAAAAGACAGCTGTCAATACTTGGTAACAGTTTATCAACACGCAAAAAAAACGAACCAAGAACAAGCAATATGGGAACCGTTGTGTTTAAACAATGGATGACTAAATACACGAAGTTGTGAAAAATTGCGACAATGATTGAGATAGATTAATTACAATGATAAACACAATAAATATCAACACTTCAAATTTGCATTGCAACACAAGCGTAAGAATTGCAAGGAATACAACTATTGACTGATTATAAATAAGTAGTATAAAACAAAACGCAAAAGAGGAAAATGAACAAATTCCTCAATGAATATAAGTTAAAACAAAACATAAAACTATATGGAAATAAAACTACTTGGTAATACCCTCTTTCAAGTGTTTGCGTATTGATGTATGAAGCAATTGTGGCACAAAATAAGTGGTCGTTGATTATTGAATACACGTAATCTATAGATCGATTAGTGATTTGATGTACTTTCTTTCCGAAATAATTTGCGACAAAAAATGAAAAAAGTAACTCAAGTTAACAAAGTCCTGTTCACTATTGTATCACAACGAGAATGTTTGCACATATTATCTCTATAGACGAGAAGTTTTTTCAAGGGGTTTTGAAACGGTAAAATTTTACACCAGAGAGAATCATGTAGACAATCTAAATGTAGCACTAACAGGATACAACTTATGATGCTACTTTAAAACATTGCAGAATAGTCCTTGAATCGGTCAAGTTATACACACCAGATTTCGTAAAAATAAAAATATCATCATAAGAAATTAGCGTATAATCTGAAACCACTTTTTCTAGTGAGGTTATTCAACTTCATAATTTCTTAAACTAAATCGTAGCTTAAGCTTTATGTGGTGAAGGCCAACTGTTTAAAGTGAAACGACAAAAGGGATAAGTAAAGCACTAATATATGAACGGAGTATTATTTTCCAATAAATTTTCTTTGAGTTCCACATTCAAATTAATAATCCAAAGAGTGACTACGTTTAAGAGAAGTACATCATATAAAACCATAGCATGTGAATTTAAGATTGTTCGTAAAACAAATAAAAATTACAACAGAACCCAAAGAGAATTTACTGGAAAGAATAATCATCGTTCATATATTAATATTTTAATATGGGGATTTTTAAACGAAATATCTGTTTAAACTCAGTGATTTAACTAGTGGTCGCTGAGCTCTTTTAACATCTTGCCATTGAATATCAGTTGTAAACTTTTCCACACTGTGATTCCAAAGGCATCTCATACTGTTTCCTTATTCATGTTTTTCGTCTTCGTATATGTAGACACGTTTATTTCGAAGCGAGAAAAGTAATTTCCATAGGCATAGAGAGTTCATCAATTTGTGTGTGGGCTGTGATACTGCCCGGGTGCCCGAATCGAAGCGCGTTACCATACAGTTAGGCATTCCTTAAAAAAATAACCTAGCCTAAAGGTCGTGACTCAAACACCCAACAAAATGAATTTTACACTTTCGTGAGACACAATTGATAGTACAGCATATCTTCAAATAATTAAGTATTGTTTCACATTAACGTGATGACCATAAAGAACTTTGGTTCAAAGTAAAAACAGTAAACTCAGTAGGAAGATCTGATTTGCCATTCGTACTTTTCATATGGGGATATTTTTTAAATGAAGTGGAGAATTTATTTGATACTTGATCAATAAACTCATCATAATCAGATTATAGTAGTACATCTTTGCTGAACAACCAGACACAAGTGCAACGCCACTTCCGTCGATCAGAGAAGCACAAATAAATGGTGTGGGATGTCCAGATTGCGCGAAAAACCGGATCATCTAAAGTTACAGAAATGACAATACACAAGCCAGATCTGCGCGAAATAAGTAAAACTACATGTACACAATCTGGACAGAAAGCATTTCATTTCAGTAGAACTGTTGTATTCTCGTCATAAGGAAGAAAGCGCAACACATACACGAGTTGCACTGATGCTGTCCAGAAAAACTCGAAAACCGCCTATAAGATGGGAGACCTAAGGCGACAGAATTATCGAAACATACTCCAAAGCAAAAAAAGAAAACATTGTAATGAATATTGCCCACCGATACACACCCATCAATGATGTCAGTAAAGATGATGAAGACCTGTTCTATCAGATAATACAGTCTATCCTGAAGAAATGTCCAGGAAAACACCTAACAATCTTTGCGAGGGAACACGAACACAGGATCCTGGTGTGGTCATTTACTTAACCTCACCTCGCAAAACGAGGATCCGACGAGATACACCCTTCGCGTATCTGGCGACCCGATGGCTAGTTCTCGTGAACTGGCAGGTGTATGCATAGTACTAATTACAAGTACAGGACACTTTTGGACTGTTCGGCTAAACGGCTCCATAAGAAATCGGAAGGTTAGGGACTTCTCGTCAATTCTTCCTATGCTTCCTCTGGCTGCAACCTGGATGAAGTGAAGGATGACTTTCACAGAACGCTCTCTGGATTTCTTCAAAAAGCTAAACACTCAGACATAGTGCTCATAGAAGGTGAATTTAATGCCCAGCTAGGTAGATTAAATCCAACGGAAGGATATTTCAGTGGGTATTTTGGTATTCTGGCTCAGCGAACAGATAATGGTCTGCTGCAAACCTAAAAGACTTACGTGTCAAACCGATAATAATTGTTGAAAGGAATAATTTTATTTGAGGTTCGGCTATTCAATCCGCGGCAAAAGAGTATATATGTCGATTTGGCTATTGAAAGCTAGGTTATAGTTAATACAATGTTAAGACGTTTACTGATTTTCTATGCGACATTATTATCACTTGAAGATGAGTCACTTATTGAAAATGGATACATCCGACTTATTGTCGCAATTTCTTTTTTTAGTCAAATAATACTTTTATAGCCAACCCCACAATTCTCACTTAAAGTAGGTGCCCCAGTCAATTTTTTAAGGTCATTGAAAACGACATAACCTATTTGATTTAACAGAGATTATGAGTAATAGTCAATAATTAATACCATATATACACAAATTATATGCACTTCTCCAACAGCACTTTAATAACACAGAGCTACCTCCTCAAGTAACGCCATAGCACTCTTATCTGAAACCACATTCAAAGCTCTACGCATCTAACAACACGGAGAACCGAGTTGCTTTGCAAGAAGATGAAAGGATTGTTGAGATCAGTTTATTCAGCCTGTGAACGTACACGATAACAAATGAAATTACGATATAACAGTGGATTAGGACTGAGGTGTTTCTTATTTAGCAGATATTAACGATCAACATAAAATTATCAGCTTCAGTGTCTGACTGAATACCAGTGCCCTGGACGACTGGTAAACTGACTTTGATCATTTATAAACTACAATAGCATTAGCACGAATTAATCAAAAAATTTTTATTAACTGTGAAAGGATAACTTTAATATTTAAATAATTTCTACAAATTTACCAATGAGAGGGTACTCCGAAGAATGAATATTTTTAAAAACATTATAGACATATCTATTTTCTTTGCAATGACAAATATATTAGCCATCTAGAAAGATCAGAAAACGTGAAAACAATTATAATTTAAACACAATCTACCAAATAATTGCTTTGATATAGCTGAAATCGAAGTAAATACCAGTATTAAAATCATCGGTGATTTGTAAGATTACTATCGTGCGTCATCGACCGTAAAAGTAGCATTGGGGGGGGGCATAAGAACGGAAAATTTTCATCATTGGAGCAACTAGTCCTTAGGGGATCACTTGTTGAAATATGTTTCTAGGTTTCTCGAAACTAAGTCGATGTTTTTTAAGGTTAACTTCAATACCTTGTAGGTGTGTGCATGTATGAAGAATACTGAATTTCTCTTGAACATCAGTTGTCAAGAATGCAAGATTCATTGATTCAAAAATTGAATTCGCGAAACAATATAGACTTTCCCCAAGAATTTAAATTTACACACAAACATACCTAAAATTGCTCAGAAGGAAACAAAAAACTGCAATTAATTCGTGACTCGAAATAGGTTGAATTAGTGTAGATGTATACATTCTTTAGCTTTTCTATCCACATTGTCATTCGCTCTTTCATAAACTCAATTCCTATCATCAACACGATTCTTCCAAGCTTAACTTGTTCTTCTTCTCTCTTTCACGGTTCAGATGTTGTGTGTACCAAATGGGTCCGACGGAAAATTGTGTCAGGTTTCATGCTGTTTATCATTGAAACAATTCGTTTTAACGATAATTGCAACTATGCGGATAAGTAACTCATGTTTTTATGGTCTGGAGAAGTCGGTATCAATAAATTTTGCTTTTCATATGGTCAGTATAATCACTGATTGTAACAAAAAATGTAACGAGAGTAAGCGCTAACATCGATATACGAAATAGTTTAAAATGTGTAGAAAGAATTTTAATCACTTTCAACTAAAGTGAACACTATTCACTAAGCTGATAGTAGATCATTCCGAGGGTATTGTCCAGTAAAGTACAAAAATGAAAAGTGTCTACCACTGACAAACCGAATTCGATATAACTACGTAAAATGTCAGTTGAATACAAGGCATTACGCAATCGCAATCACTTAAGTATAGAAGCTTTGTAAATGGAATATATATTTTCCAGGAAATCATTTTTCAAATTACTACTTTAACAACTTTTGATCGGTCCAATCGGATTTTAAATTTAAGTAGAACAATCTCGCTAGAGTAAAGTGTAATAAAGAGTGCTTATGTACCAAAATCTAATGAAGAAAAGTGGGTCTTTTTTCTTTGTATTGTGGCTAGTGTTCAACTAAATATTAAACACATTATTTCAAAAAACAATAGATATAACTGTAGTTGAATTAATGCTATTTAATTTACTGCGATGAATGAGCTATAGTAGACAACTAATAGGACCAGTATGAATGAACTACGACCATAATGTACACTGACTAACTGAAGAATAGTCTCAAAGTAAGAAACCTATACGTTATGAAAGTAATCTATAAAGGGTATCCTATATTTGCTTGATTTACCTTCGATACATCATTTTTACTAGCTTGATGGGACTTTAGATGCTCGTTGTAAAGTCTCATTCATATTGTCAAATGATAAGTAAAACTAGTTTCCGTGCAGTAGTTCTCACAGCTTCTTAATCAAGTTTATATCAGCATATTCCTCAGTAATATTATCATTATCAACACACAAAAATTCTAATTTTACACGAAATACTGTTCGAGACAATGTGATAACAGTTCATTTACAGAACAAAAATGATTATCATTTAAGCGCACATATTGATACAGATAAAAATCAAATTCAATTTTGCAAGTAGGTAATTTAACACATTAAGTAAACTATGTGTACCTACCTTGATCGAATACTATGTGTTTTGGATTGTCACCGATGTGATTTCTTTCTTTGGTTTTGAACTCCTTTTTCTTATGAGACTGTGGAGTGTTCGCTAAAATAAAAACATTGTGGATACATAAGTGAAAACTGTCATATATATCAACGCTTAATGAGCCCCTGTGTTGTATTTGTTTCGTTCATGTAAGTACTTACAAGAAACACAGGATAAAAAGCAACTACATTAAATGCAAAGTACGACCGTTTCAACATCGGACTATTTACTTACACGAATGCGAATCGATCATATTTACGTCTACGCACTCATATTTCCGTTTTTTCAATTTGTGCTTTTTATTGGCTAGATAGATGAAAAAGAAGTAAAATTATTTTCAGTGATCAACTCGATATAAATCAATACAGTATTCTACTTTTCAAGTAAATCATTAGGACCAGTCTGAGTAGGAGTGACAGGTTAAATGATAAGTTTGTTGGTCCATGTCAAGTGAAGTGATAGGATCGTGCACCACATGCGTGAAGCCAATTTACTGGATACTATGGGGTGGTCACAGTAAAAGTTGGAATCAAAGATTTCGTACTAAATTACACCATTAGTTCACAAAATGAAAAACCCACAATTTGAATCATTTGGGAGGTTTAATTTCCAGATTGCATATCATGAAAAAAAATCAATGGTTTGATACATGAGTTGATTACAATAACACAAATTTATTCACTACCCTATTTAACCCTTGAAATTTGTAGCACTTATATTGTTTTCTTGAATCACCTGTTTCAGTTCTATTTGGTTTGTTTAATATTCATTCGATTTCGGTGCATGATAAGTTGAGTGGATGTACTTCAATGCAAAATTTTACGTCAATATGTCTAACTGTTACGTAAGTTGTCTATTTGTTGTAGCAACCCCTTGCATTGTTTTACTGCTAAATGTAAATCTTCTCTACTGAAATAAGATGAGTAGATAGTTGGTCGTTACGATTCTTAAAGTATACAAAAGAGAATGCAAATAAGCAGTATTCACCTGAGTCTGAAGCCACAAGTTTAGTATTCTCCAAAGAGACATCCATTTTTTCAAGTTTCTGTTTTTTTAATTTATTCTTTTTGTCTATTGAACAAAGTACAATGAGAATAGACACAATCAAGCATAATACATTATCGTTGCAACATTGATTTGTAAAGGAGTGTGTCAAAAATCATCTTTTACTAAAAAAAACATCAGAGAAGCCGATGAAAGCCTAGAACGTTTTGGCTGAAATGTGAACTTCTTTCGGTATTAATCAATAAGAAATTTAAGGATACAGGATTAGTATATAAACATACGTGAATAGATTTGACAAATTCTTTTATGACAAACATGTACTGTGATGTCTGAACATTCAAAGCGGGACATCATACATAAGTGTGTTAAATGTTTCGAAAGGAAAAAGTCAAGCCTTTTTCTAAAACATCACTGTCTGTCAAAAATCAGAACAACGACGCTAGAAAAGTTCATTTTTACACTAAAAATTGCAATGTGGAGTTAAACAGGAACTGGTGTCAAGTGATAATTTTTATAACTCTAACCATTACTACCGTCAATGATATAGATTAATTTCATGCAATTAGTTCCCTTTATGAAGTTAAATAAAGCCAGAACAAACATGGATGGACAATAATATGAATTCATTATATTTTGTGGTTTCTCATCAGCTCCTTACAACTAAATATGTATTGAGATTTTACATTGAGGTAAGATAAAATGTGAAACAATTGGCATAGATGATTTCATCTCCTCTGAAGCGTAAGTATAAGAAGCAGTTTTTTTCAACTGTATCGTATTTAACCCGAAGGTTGGTTTTGGCATACTTCTCAATGAACTTTACGGGATATGCATTTTCACGTAAGTAATTTGTAATGAGAGAAATTTCATCTTCCAGGCATTCCGTTGAGCAAATTTTGCGCGCACAGTCAAAAAGGGTTCGTACAATACCCTTTATGTAACTCATTGGACGGAAAATGTTGTAATTGAGATAGATTTCGTTCCAGATATTTTTGAGGTGAATGTGTCTTTGTAATGTGCCATCTGAGGTTTGTCTGATTCCAATATCTAAGAAATGGAATTTACCTTCATCACACTCAGCTACAACGTAGGACCAGGCACATATGTGCATCGGTCCAGGTTGCCATACCGCATCAGCACAACAAGATGAACACCGGATTCATAGCAGTGATTAGGTCAAAGGTGTTAATATATAGGAGAAAGATTGCATATAGAGATATAGTACAAGAAGGAAAAATTGGTTCGTAGAAAGAAAGATATGAAGCGATTTTAATCTCTTAGTTTAAGGGAAGACAAAGAGTGTATACACCGACGCCATTGTGATCAATTCTGAGCCGTCACCAAGAGTCTCCAACCATTGGTTACGATAGTCACGCGGACTCCAACCAAGTAGTCTGCACCTACCAACATGGCTCAGACTAGAAGTTAGTGACTTCAAGCACTGATGCCACGTTTTGGTTTGGCCGCCCCTAGATTTCTTCCAACCATTTCCAAAACCGGATAGCATTGCACGTCGTGGTAATCGGTGTTCAGGCATACGTTATACGTCGATGAAGATTCATAACCTCATCAACTGATTTACCATCATTCCCTAATACCCTGCGCCTAACCTCACTATTACTTACCCGGTGATCCCAGCAATGTTTTTAAGGCATCTGTGGTCAAATACTAATAGCTTACGAGTGTCTTCTACCATTAATGGCCATGTTTCGCTGCCGTAAATTAAAACAGAACGGACTGCCGCGCAGTATACTCGTCCTTTTATTGATAGATGGATATCTCGCCTTCGCCATAGGTGACGTAAGTTGGCAAAAGCCAAACGAGCCCTTCGAATCCGTGCTGAGATTTCGTCAGACACCAACTCATTAGGGCTGATCAGACTTCCAAGATAAGTGGAGTTGTCAACGCGTTCGACTACTTCACTCCCTATCCTCAGTTCAGGTGTTGACGCAGACCAGTCCTGAAGCAACAACTTGCATTTATAGGGAGAGAAGCGCATTCCAAACATCCTGGCATTGTTGCTCAGTGCTACCAGAAGACTCTGCATTTTGTCAGCGTCTTCACCAAACAGGACTATGTCATCTGCGTATTCTAAGCCGATAAGTGGACCTCCTGGTAGGAGATCAAAACCCGAGAACTCAGTCGACGAGAAAGTTATTTCCATCAGTAGATCTATGATGAAGTTAAACAAAAATGGGGAAAGTGGACAGCCTTGACGGACACCACTTGAGCTTGCAAAAGTAGATGACAGTTCGCCATAAGCTCTCACTCGACTAGTAGTGTTCGAGTAAAGAGCCTTCATAAGGTTTATGTACTTCTGGAGTACGCCTTTCAATGACACCCACTGCCACAGAATCTCGCGGTCGACCGAGTCAAATGCCGCTTTTAAGTCGAGAGAGACCACGATTGTCGGACACCGATAAGCATGCCTGTGTCCTAAAACCTGATGAATGGTGAATATGTGGTCGATGCAGCCACGACCAGGTCTGAAGCCAGACTGATTTTCTTATATTCGCAGTTCACGAGTCTTTGTTGGGCTCCTGATAATTGTTGAGGCTAGTATTTTAGATACTATGTTAGTCAAACTAATCCCTCTATGGTTGTCACAGGATGATTTTAACCCTCTCTTATATATTGGGACGATCAGTGATTGTGACCAGTCAAATGGGATAACGTCCAACTCCCAGATCTTTGCTAAAATATTAGTCAACCTAATCGCTAAATTTGGACCACTATCCTTAAAGACCTCTGGAGCCAGTCCATCTGGACCAGCTGCCCTTCCTCGCTTCAGATTAACTATAGCCTTTTGAGCTTCAGCAAGAGTTGGGGGACCTACTTCAATGTTCCATTCACACTGTCTGGGAATAGAAGGTAGTTGTAGAGTAGCTGAAGGCCAGCTGAACTGTTCTCTGAAATGTTCCGCCTATCGTTCTAAACGTCTGGACTGGGAGCAGATTAGAGTATCGTCTTTTTCCGAAATAATCTCACTTACACTTGACTTATTAGTTCCACTTTCTTTTATTAGTCTGTAAAGCTGTCTTGTGTTCCCTATAGTCGTCGCCTTTTCCATCTGTTTTGCTTTCGTTGACCACCACTGCTCACGGTCATTCCTTAGACTTTTTCTTAACCTAGATCTGATTTGTTGTCGCCCTTCATCATGTTCGGAACCAGATGTGATGAGTTTGAGAGAATTCATCAGTGTGATAGACTTTGAAGAAGTCCACTGGTTCTTTGTAACTCTGTGGTTTAAGTCACTAATAGATTTCATTGCTGTTTCCACAGCTGTTCGTATATCTATCCAAGCAACATCTGGGTCATCCTCGACTTCAGAACTGCCTAATTGTGAACTCAGTTGTTCTTGGAACCTACTTTTGGTTTTCTCGTTACTCAACTCAGTTCTAACGGGTCTTTTTAATGTGGCTTTTTTGCGTCCAGTGAGGCGCAAGCAGATGCGTGCCCGTATTTAGGGCGTGGTCGGAGTCCAAGCAGGTACTCCAGAATGAGCGACAATCTTGTATCGACTCTCTCCAACGATGACTGATGTCAATATAGCCTATTTGAGTCCATCGTTGGTTTGGTGCAGGGGGTCGCCATGTTAGACGATGTCTCTCCTTATGCTTAAAATTTGTGTTTGCTAAAAATAAGCGATTGTTTAAGCACAGTTGCAGCAGACGGTCACCATTATCTGTTTGCTGTGCCGGAATGCTAAAATATCCACCTAAATGCCTTTCTGTTTGGTTTCAGCTACCTATCTGAGCATTAAAGTCACCTGCTACGAGTACTATGTCTGAGCGTTTAGCTTTCTGAAGAAGTTCAGAAAGCTTTCTGTAAAATTCATCTTTCACATCATCTGAGCTGCAGTCAGTGGGAGCGTAGGCAGAAACGACGAAAAGGCAACGACGTGTGTCCCTATCCTTCTGAGTTCTTACGGAGCCGTTTAGCCGAACAGCACATAGACGACTCTTGACGGGATCCACTCTAACAGTGATTGTTCCGCCCTCATGCTTAGTGTTATGCTTACACCCGCCAGTCCACGAGAACTGGACATCGGGACACCAGATACACGTAGGGTGTATCTCGTTGGCTCTCCGTTTTGCTGAGGTGAGGTCAAGTGAATGACCACATTGGAATCCTGTATGTGTGTTTCGGAGACACAGCATACATCAATGGTACGAGATTCTAGGGTTTTAGCCAAGGAAGCCTGCTGACCGATTTGACAAAGGGTGCGTACGTTGAAGGCTCCAATGTGTAGTTTGGAGCGAGGTTTCATTAGACCTGGGACAGAGTTTTGAGCACTAGAATCGTTGGCTATGGTGACACTTGAGAAGGAAGCCGAAAGAGAAAGTTTAGAGTTGAAAGTCGATGTAGGAAGAATAATAGGAATTGAAGAGGAAGGTTGATTATGAATACAGTGATCTTGAGTGCTGTTAAAGGTATGAGGGCGGTTATCACTTCCCGGTTGCCCACACCGAGGAAGGGTTCTTCTGGAGGTACCTGAAAAGAAAATTGGATTAGTGTTGATCTTGACGACCTGGGAGCGTGACCGCAGTGCCCAAGGGACAACT